CCAGCCTCTAGTGCCCGTGGGATCGAAGTGCCCCCGGGGTGTTCGCTCACAGATATCGAGTACGCAGAAGACAACCCTTCTTGGACCTCAGGCTACTGTACTACAGACAACATTAACTAATCTAAGTACTTCTGCCTCGTGATTTGGCATACGCTTCATACGTGCAAAATGTAAAGTGCTGCTGCACGACTGAGTGGACTCGAACCCTAACCTAACGCTCGCAGATGTGCCGACTGAGGTAGTAAACAAATTTGTTTACCCGGACAGTTTTATCAGTTCCGGTGGTCTCAAAAAAGGTTATATTTCCATCTGAATTGGGAAGGACAGAGCAGCTTTCGTGGACCTACATAATCTGTGGTGTAGGTGTGAGATCGGCTTATCTACCAAGGGTCGAGTTTACAATGCTGTGGTGCGCTCCATATTATTATACGAGTAAGAAACCTGGCCGCTGTACAACGAGGACGTCGAAAGACTTTCACTGTTTGACCATCGGTGTCTTCGAAGCACTGCTCGAGTCTGGTGGGAACACCAGATCAGCAATGCTGAGGTACGTCGAATCGTTTTCGGGAGAAATAACTCGTCCATAATAGATGAACTGATCACAGTTTATAGGTTACACTAGCTTTATCATGTGGTCCGTACGCCAGTTGACCGAATTCCTCGAAGAATCATGTGGAATCACATTAAGAGTGGAAACGAGCCAGGGGAGGTCGAACATTACTTGGCGGCGAAGCATGAAAGCCATTACCAACACACTCAGCTGCTCTAGGATGGCCGTTCCCCGAGATGGGACACATCAATAGTTAGAGGCATTTTCAGACGTGGTCCGGTCGTGCCCTCAATGGCGCGAATGCATCTACGAGGTTGGCTTCAATGAAGAGCTTCCCCTCCCGGTCTCCCAAATGAAAAGCCCACTGACACCCCGTATTCATTCATCAACTATATCATTTGCCGCCTCCAATGCTTAGTTATGTGCTCCTATCTCCCAAAACCATTAGGGAATGAAACTGTTACAACTAGAATTACTGTAGGACAAGTGAGTGGCTTTCACGGCTGCTGCTGATGATGATGGCGACTTGATTTGACAGTTATGAGCCACAAGTTGGGCATGTTGATGGTTTTATTGCTACCCCTCCTGTTTATCCCCGAGTTTACACCGGTACAGTCAGTCCAGTTGGCTGCATATGAGGCTGGGAGAAAACCGCACGTGGCATTACCCTTTCAGTGTGGGGATCTGTTGACGTAGCCCGATTAGACAAGCCAGTCCCAAGACGGATATCAGGCCACCGTAAATCAAGGTGTCTGATTGAGCGTTCGGCACATCGTAGGCAGATGGCCTTAACTGAGTAACAGTAACCGGCTACGTTAGTCGTGTCCATACGTACTGAAGGGGAACCTCCTTGTCGTCTATAGTATAGCGCCTATAAGTAGGTGCTTTTTAAAGTTGCAGTTAAGTTTGCACTAACCTAGGAGACGTCAGTGGCAATCGCGCCAATTATCTTTCTTATTCATGTGTGGTGTGCAAAAGAGTTTTGTTATTGGTAACTTTACCAGGCGGGCTCCGTCTTGCAATTAAGGTCCAAATAATTGCTTGTCCCGGGCAGTATGTCTGCAAGTCTTTCGAAGCCCCGTGTGAGAGTACGCTTCTAAGAGCCCTCACATTTCAGTAGTCAGGAGCCAAGATTGGGATGCGAATTCTTTTGCAGGGACTTCCGCTCTTCGCTGTCATCGTGTTACCGAAGGACTCTATGTTGTTATGTGGTGAATTAATGTGATTATACCTCGTCTGCTGCAACATACGAGTGAACCAGGTGGAATGACTTATTTGCCTTATCATTCGCAAACCACAAAGCCCTAGCAATTAACACCTGTGCATTTGACCTACGACCACAGCTGATCTATGGGAAGAGACGATCTTTGGTTGGTACTTTTGTTTTCACTTGGCAAGCTCCTTTAATATCTTCACATGCCGTTCAAACGTAGACCAGCAATTCAATACAATTTCAGACTTCACATTCCCCAGTGGGACTTAAGTGACTACCTCCGACATCAGATAGCTGTGGCGCGACCAGTGGCACTGGATCATGTCTGAAATCCCAAACATCCTACGTCATCATCGAAAGGCTCGAGGTTCGGCCATCTCCTCCTAGACAAATTACCGATTTTCTCATCGCGTTGCTGGGGTCGCAACAAGTGTAGATCACTGTACCTCCTACTGGCTGGTTCGTACAGCCTTAATTCGAAATTGAAGTCGAAGAAAAATTGCCCATGAGTGTTCCGAAGTGCCTGATAATAAAGGAACCAGTGTAGCATTTGCGACCATACACAGAACCCTTTCTCTCCCTGGCTTCACTGTGACTTTACTCCCGTTGTATTGTATCAGGACGGTCATCCCCATACGGCTTCTATCCCTCCATTGAAATTGAAAAGATGAAACATGGTAAATGATAGCCGAATTCCTGGACTGTGCAATGATATAATGCAGTAATACAATAGTAAGATGCATGTATACATTAGTACGCAATAATAATATATCTTATACTAGTGTATATGACACTATAACTATGTCAGATCTGAAGATGGCTGAAGTTATTCACGTGGTTATCACTTTCCATTTAAATTTTCCAATCACGTGGCCTGATTCGTTTACCGTGACCTGAGTGAAACATGGCACTATTAGTCGACTGCTGCGCTGTACTTTATATTCAAAAAAGTGCCGGTCAACTTGCCTTCCTATGTATGCAGTTCTCTTTAGGTCACAATTCGCTTCTCTATTGTCCTCAGTCAGTAAGATGACCTCAGTCGTGTCTGGCCGGGGCACGACTTCGTGGATTATTGGCTGCCCTCAATTTTGGTTCACACGGTTTGAGCATTTTTTTTTCTGAATCAATAGATCATTAGTTGTTCTTCTTTGCTGCTTGCTTATAATATGGTTCCTTCGTTCTGTAACGTAGTTACTCCGACTGGGATTTGCGTATTAGTTTAGCAGTCAACTGTTTGTAACTTAGCACTGAACGCACAATTTGCGCCATCGTGCCGTCGTCTGCAACTAATTCGAGCCGACTACATCAGTGCGTGCAAAAAGATTAGGCTTCCTATCTTTCGTTGGTTCCCACTGTAAATCCGAGGAGTACATTGAGTTTTTGGTTTCCTGTTGTATCACCTTAAGGCGCCTTCGGGCTCCTATCGATATCTCATGAACACAGCTAATTTATCCAGTTAATCTTTTGCGTTCAGTTTTTCATGCATATCCAGAGTGTTATATTTCATTTTACAAACCTGAATGCGGCTCTCTTCCATCATCTTTTCTATCACCATTTTGCGAGATAAAGCGACAGTATTCAGGAAAACCATTGAAAACATTGACAATTATTTAATGGAAAGTTTCGAATAATTCTCTACGACCAATTGGAAAACGAATGACTGTTACTCGGCGTACATTGGTGTGCACTTCATTGTTGCCTAAACGGTCCTCTTCTTGTCCACACGAAAGGTTAAAATCGATGGATTCCAGTTTCACCTTTACTGAGACTCATCAGTGGTGCACATGTGGGAAATCGGTCAGATCGCCCATGCGAATGAGCTCGCGGTAACGTTTGCCCCGCGTTTTGGAGGTCCGGTGTTTCTATCCTGACATGACCAAGTGTGTGTAGTAGTTGTGAACTCTAATGAAAGTGGAGTCCAATTCAAGCGCCTCTCTGTTTTAGGGAAGACTAACAAGGAAAACGGTTCAAACGAGGGTGATGTTTATACAACACTCTCCATGAGTTTGCTGTTTGACTTGATATAAAGTACTCACCACTAATTGACCTTCCGTTGCTTCATCCGCACTCTGCTAGTCTTTCCAATCAACCAACTTTTTGCCGGGAATCTCGCATCTACAGCAAACTTTGCGCATATCTTTTACTAAAAGTGGCGTTTCCACGGCGCGCCAAAAAACTAAGACCTGTCTAAATAACGTCAACTCTGCATCATTCAACCAATAGTTTTAATCCGTCCTCTGGTAGATTGTCCTTTATTCTCCGTGCCTCCCAAATTTGCCCACACGTACCTAGGTTTGTCTGTTACCCAACCCGACCAAAATCGATCGTTAGGATACACGTCACTACTTTTAAAGTGTTTCCCTAGGAGTGTTAGGAATTCTTTCCACGGTAGGTGTTTAGTTCCTCCTGAAGCATACTTTTCAACTTCTTAGAAATATAGACTGTTGACATGGGGTTGGTCCACCATACCATTACACTGTTACATTGTTACCAGGTATGTACGATGCTTCAAAACCTTTGCTCGTAAGATGACAAGTTTCTTCTGAACTTCTCACGCGATACTCATATTTTAATTCATCGTATTCGCCGCCATTGTCACAGGCGTCATGTTTGGTTTTTCTGTGTCTTAGAGGGTCCTTTCAACTGACCCTGTGGACAGTAAGTGGAAGCACAGGCGATTTATCTTGAGCAACATTTGTGCCGCTTATGACTTTGTGAACCCGTGGGGCAATACTCACGAGGCTATCTAACTGCCATTGACGTGCCAAATTGATCATCAAGCTGAAAGGGGACAACTGAACTTTCTAGGCTGGTCGCAATTTCGGTTGAGTCGTGCGACGCCGTTCTCAGGGAGATGCCTATGTACAACTACCATGGCGTATAAACTGAATAATCTCGCTGCATAGCTTTTGGCTTGTTTCGTCTTATCGGTCATGATCACGAGCAAGGGTGAGAAAGAACATCATCATCATCATTGTCAGAAGTGACGGTTTCTGAACACTGGTACCTCACTTCATTCAAGAAGCATATGAAAAGAACAGGAGGGATAAGGCGCCTAATGCTGCCTTACTATCGGTATTCTTAAGTGCCCACATTCACTCAGGCAGTCTAGGTCGAAACCGTTAATCTTGTCGTATGTTATATCATTCAGACAGGATTTCTTGATAGCACGCTGCAAGATAAACGGTAGCACTCAACACTATCTTGCTTATTAATTTCCCGTTACTTTTGAACCAGAAACCTCCATCCATACATGCACCCTGATGTGCAGTATGTGATCACAAGGTCAGCCTGGAGCGAGGACTTCGACAATGTAAGTTTGCGGCAATCAGTTCTGTTTCCCATTTGGCTAACCCTAGAGTTTTTTCGTTTGACACAGCCCGATCAGCAGTAGCTTGTGTGCCGTAAATTAAACAACTCATCTGGTGCCCAGTCTGTCTTATCTTGTTACCCGCCACACAATCTTGACAACGAGCTCCTTATCCCCTCGCTACTCCCTCCGACTGACTGATTGTTCATATTCGTCTCTTGCGAGCTTTTGGTGTGTGATTCATTTATTCCCCCAGATGTATGTTTCTTAGGCCCCCTTTCACATCTATAAATTCCCACTTTGCCATAGTGCTTTGCTTCTCAACGAACACAGACACAACCTATTCCCTACCTTTTTTGCAATAAATAATCCCCAAGCGTTCCCATGGTCCAACCGATTGTTCAGGACAGTTAGTCGCTTTTCCTCCCAAAAATGTTAACCATTCATCAGGTGTTGTTTGGCTTGCATTCCGTGGATTGTCTGCTTACACATGCACGACGGAGCACCACATGCTTTACTGGTCTCGGATTTTATAATCAGGTGGTTCATATCACGGGATGTAATGCGCTGCATATGAGTTGAGTTTCGTTGTCGCGATGAATCCTAAACTCGTCTGGGTATTCACACTTTGTTGATTGTTTAGTGCCAAGAGCACATAGTGCCTCCCTTAACGACAAGCGATCGGGAGCCATCACTCTTGCCCATCCTATTGATTACCTGGTGCAGCGGTATTTCCATGATGATCTCCAAAATGCCCAGCACTATGCAGGAAAGGAGAGCCTAACTCTGTGACAACATAGTTAATCATATTAGGTAATGAGTCGATAGATAGGAGGAGTCATCTTTCAAGTCTGTTATTTCGCAGTCTATCGTGCAAATAAAAAGAAACCTGAAGGGAGCGATTTGTCACTCAGCACTAAGATAAGATACCTGCGTAACTGGTCGGCCTCAAGCACGTTAAATCATTCCATCATCAGGCTCCCGAGCTTATCAGAACTGGTTGCACGGTAGTTTGAATAAGCAACTAAGCGTCAAGTTAGCAAAAGTTTATGTTAATCTGGACGTGCCGGAGAAGGGCGAAAACGTTTTTCGAATTTGACATTCATGTCGCCCTTATCTCAGCTTGCCTGTCAGAGTGAGAGTGTAAAACGCTGCAAAGCACCCCACGCCGCTCTTCGGGACAAATTTGGACGGACGCTTTTGGTCTCTGACCATGTTCACTGTGGTCTCAGGTTGAGAAATGAATATGCAACACGATAGCAAGCCTCTCCTCGGTGAAGTTGCAGAAATCGCTGAACACTTTTAACTGCATGAGACTCACGGAACTCATCATTGTAGCCAACACCAGCTCGCTGTTTGCGCGGATTTGACCACCAACTTCCGCTGTTATGTAGCTTCTGCACAAAACATGCCCAAGATCAATCCAACCTGTCGTGGGAAGTGACCACCTTAATGTTGAAGCTATGCACTATAATCTAGTGTTGCGAACCAGTAGCCTGCGACTCGAGGTGACCATGCAAACACACTATCATCCACTCTGTAGACAGGAACTGACAACAATAACACCACTGCTCCAACTGACCCTGCAAAGTCTTGATGGATTTAAATTTGTAAATCAACTTAATTATCATTGTGACTGCAACTGCGTTTCAATACGTTCAAGTATGTGCTTTGTTTGTGCTTTGTTTGGTTCCTCTCATGGATGCTAGGACGAGATCATTCTTTCGCACCCTAATGCGCCACGCTCTTCCAAATTGTAACTTCGTTCCCTGGATTCCTGTGGTTTGCACTTTTCCCGATCACACGTTTTACGATCGATTGATTCAACCTACCTCCCTAAAAATTCTGCTGGTATCCTCCGCTAAACGGATTGTCCAATTTTAAGGCAAGACTGATCTGGAGTGCAAATTGTTAGAAAATTACGTACAATCGACTTTGGATTTTGGGTCTGCAGTCCCACTTCTGTTTCCATACATTTCAAGTTTTACTACCCCAGGTACACTTGTTCCCTGGTGAGTCGGTTATATAAGCTGACCTGTAAATCTCACTATGCAACGCGAATTTTGAACGATGCTCAAATGCTCCGAACTATTCTAACCATAGATTGTCAGTTTTCCACATAAGAATAAGTATTCTTAAAACGGACTAATCTGACGGTCGTTTTTTCTGTATTCCGGGATGTGAATAGACAATGACCTGAAGGTGAATCCTCCCTGATAATTGAATATACCTCATGACTGTAAGTGGATGGTCGATCCCGAGGAATGTGCTATGCTTGCTGACCATAAATTCATCTTTAGAACGGATAGTTAATCTGTCTGAGTAGTTCTAGTCATGGAGCGTGTGTGGATCCAATGGGAAGTATGGATTAGCTTCTCTTTCACCTCACTCGGAGAAGTCATTGATTCCGGCCCATGTCACATGAACTGCCTGGGTTAGGGTTTAATTGCTCTCTATCCCAAGTGTCCGTTATTCACACATCCGTAGCTGAACTGCGGATTGCAGTTCCATGAAATACGCATTGCCAATTACTCTTGACAACTGCGCAATAGTATTTGTACTGTTTGAGGGGATTCAACATTCGTTGTCTCATGGCCAGTCACAGAAAACTAATCGGATGTATCGTTGACCAAATCGGGCGATCCCTCCAAGCGGCTTTAACCAGCTGCTCACTAATGCCTGATTTGGCTGAAGGAACGAAGTTGGAACTTTCAGCTTTGGTACCACTGGGCTGACGTGATTGGATGATGGGTCTGATCTCCGTTCAGGTGAACATATAGCCCTCATTCGATGAGCTATCATCAACTTAACCTGAATTATGAGTTTGTTGCTATGCGTTGGAAGTCACTGACTAAGCTGAATGTTGTCTTATCTTCATTTTTTATCTCTCAACCCAACTACTTTTACCTCTTGTTGCCACAGTCTACTTATTCGTTGTTTTTTCTCTATCATCAGGCTCTGAGTGATAATAATTCACTTATATTCGTTCGTCCTGATTGGATATTCGCGTGTGATCACCAAGGCAAATGGGTTCCTTTCCAGAAGTTTTTGGTCGTTGGCTAATGATGCCTAGCATAACTCAGCGAGCAGACACTTCGATGCGTACGATAACAACCTTTTGAATGCCACCCCTATCCAAGTCTTTGCATATCCATTAGTATCTGTTTGCTACATCACTAACATTGTTTATCGCCTATTTTGTACAATAAATTCACTCAGCTCATTCATATCTTGCCGGTACAGTCATTTCACAAACGCTACAATGCTGGAGCTTCTATTTACTGTTGAAGTGCCATCTCCCACTGCTCATCCTCGACAGCCTAACATCAGTGTTCAACACTGATGCTTCGCTGCCGTGCAACCATGTTTTATTTTAACGCCTTATTGTGAACAAAAGAATGAAACCGAATTGGGGATAGAATTTTCGCTAACCTACCCCAATTATTCTGAGGCGCCTACACTTCTAGACACTCATTCAGACAATATGGATAGAGGTTGACAACAGGAACACCACTGCCACGGATTACCAGCCATATCTTAGAGCATCTCTAACCAGGCGTAGTAGGGACTACGCGGTCCTCATTCTGGAAGCCGAGTCAGCACCCAGTTTTTTCGTAATTCCTTGCGTACCCTTCTACCGGCTCAAAGATTGGTCACCTGTCTGCTTCCGCCACTGTAAATTGGACATGGGAAGCAGTACTCTCTTCGGCAATCGATGGTTCGACATACGCAATACATGGCCTAACTGACACAGCTTCTGGTGCTGACACATTCTTCGAGTGAAGTCCCGGTTGAACAACCGGTCACTCGCTTCCTAATTACCTCGTTACGGATTCGCGAGCCCCAATCTATAAAAACCATGGTTCTGAGACAATGAAGGTCGAAGACCGCTGCTCGAACAAGCCAACTCTCAACCATACAATAAACAGCACGTACTGTAACCTGATGAACACATCCATTGAGATTCAGGGGTGCACCACTTTAAAGCCATAAGTGTCTCAAATTGGCAAACGCGACCCGAGCTTCTCAGCTTCGTGTGTTGACCGCGTCTGCTGTACTATGCCCACCGCACATCCAACTTTGGATGAGTTACACGTGGCCCAAATGATTCGGTTCTCGAGTTTTGGAAACAGGAAATTCTGCGAAACCGCTGAAATAGGTGCTAAATACACTACACTAGTTATACGAATAGCTCAAATATGACAGTTGGTGCGGTAAATTATCCGAATGCCAGTCTTTGAAAAGTGCCTTACACAGAGGAATAAGTCGAGTGATATTGCGGAATTAACGTGCAACCAACACTGGTCATTCACATGAACTATTAAAAATAAGATAACCACCAATGGTGACGCTTAAATAAATTGTACAAATGGCCGGCCTCTTTTTTCGGTGATTAGTAAATTTTCAAAAAAAGGGAAGGAAACAAGTTTTGAGCAAAGTTTTTGTGACAGATTGTTCTAGCGACTGACAGCACGTGCGACACATCACCAATGTATAGCAGTAATTTTAGTCCACTGTGGAGACAGCTGTTTTCTTACAGACTAACCAATCTCATGTCTGGTCAACTCCAGGGTACTCATTACGTGCACATGTTTTCAGTGTAAAGCCTGTTTAGGCTCGTTGTCTCCATCCGCTGATCATCATCCGATTAGGACATCGTTTTGCGTAAATGAGATGACGTATCATAGTTACCATTCCTCCAGGGCACTGTAATCGAAAGACAACCTATCACGCACCATGCTCTTTTGACGTCGAAATCAGCCGTGACGAAGAGGCACTTCACAGCTCCCTGATGTCAAGCTTGCACGCAAGAACCTGTCCAACTATCCGTTCTCACACAATTTACTGGCACTGTAACACTGCAATCGCCGCTGCACCGGATTGGATTGAATAGGATGGGAGGGACATGTCGTTCATTGGTGTGTGGTAGGGAGCGAATGGGGTTTCATATTGTGCAATCGCACCGTGGGACCATCAAGTAGCTATGCTTCAAATATTAAGACTGTTGGTGGAAATTTCATGTTGGCAAACCGAGATTTGACATGGGAAAGCAGCTTCACTAAAGTATGACATGTAAACTATTGTAGCTGCGTTCTGACGATTTGACAGCCAACTGAAGAGTCCGTGTAAAGTTTAGACCCCTCGTGACTACCTGCGTCACTCTCAGGGGCATGTGGATGTCATTACGGTATGACACTATTTGTTCCTCATAGAACGAAATCAGCTGTTTTACACTAACTGCGCTAGTGTAGAGCCACACTGCTTTACTGCCGCATCCTGCTTGCAAACAAAAATTTTTGGAAGCCGGCCTTACTAAGGAAGCAAATAAAAGGGGGGATAACTTGCTGCTACTCTGTTGGTATAACGTTTACCTCTAGGATACGTGATTTTCCAATGTGCGTCTCAGGTCAGTGTCGTTTTTAAGCACCACAAACTTGATCAGTTGTTGTTGAGTGATTTGTATTTCAATGGGACAGTGCCATCACAAAGGTTCAGTCAACAAACAGACACGGTTCGTAATTAAGTCCATTCAACCCCAGCTACGGAGAAGGGGGTGTGGCTGTGTACACGGAAATATTTTCTATCAACCAGGCATGTTTTGATAAAACCACAATTCCGTTAGCAATGGTCGGTTGCGGTTCATACCGATTTACTTCCAAACTGACAAACTAAGACCTTTAATTCCATCCAACACGCGTTGCATTTGGACGGTTTCCTCCACTATAGCATAAAAATGCCTACTTAAGTTGCGTGGGCATGACAACCCAGGTCAGTCTTGTTGAAGACACTACAATCATTCAAGCTAATCACGAATAGATTATATATATA